TTTGGGGTTTTCCCATGTTTTTGGTCCTTTTGTGTGAGTTTTTTTTTTTTCAAAATCAAGAAGTCTGGTAGAATTAACTCTGATGCATTTTAATGCCATTCTTCATTGTTAGTCATTCTCAGAAAATTATAAATATTTCATGTTGGGTATTGCCAAATGTTACGCATCATGGTTCTACATGAATAATCTTTTGCTGATAATTGCTAGCAAGGCTTATGGGCTTCTGACTTGCTAGAGTTCATGGAGTTTTATTGACTTAGAGCTAATTAAATTGTTGCCTGCTGCTTTTGAAATTCTGCCAGAGGAACATGCCTGTCATTAGCGCAGCCTTTGTGCAGGAAGCCTGACTTGGATTGAGACACAGACATTTTCCCCTAAGTGCTTGCTGGGGTTGGGGGTGGGGAGATGGGATGGCTTCACAGGGATTACGGTTGTATAAAAAACTGTAACAATGGGCACTGTTTTGCAGTTTCTTGTTTGCGTGTTTACTTTTGGTTTTCTGAGATTTTCAAACTATATGCTTAAACTTGCTATCTTTCCAGAATTTCTCTTCAAATAGGGATTCTGCTTGGTGATCACCCTGATTCTTTGAATGTATAATTTTTAGGAAAATTTTTATTTAAAAATTTTTTTAAAGTTTATGTATTTCGAGAGATAGAGACAGCACAAGTAGGGGAGTAAGAGATAGAGGGAGACACAGAATCCCAAGCAGGCTCCACACTGTCAGTGCAGAGCCCAATGAGGGGCTTGAACTCATGAACCATGGGATCATGACCTGAGCTGAAACCAAGAGTAGTCTGCTTACCTGACTGTGCCACTGAGGTGCCCCTTAGGAAAAAAATTTAAAACTGATATATTTTGCTGCAAGATTGCAAATGCATGAATAAATGAATAATTTGTGAATATGTGAATAATTTGGGATAAAGCAAAATATATAGGTTTTCGATTTAGGGTATGACTAAAGAAGCATTAGGAGTAGAATTAACTATCCTTTGTGATCGCATTAGACTTGTGAAGTCCCTTCACATCAAGTCTTTCGGACTAGAACCCATCAAAAAGCCCAGCTGTGGCCTAGCACACAATGGCCCTCTGCCACCACCCAGTGGTGTGGCCTCATTGTTGGTTGTGTGTCACTTACTCTCCCTGCCTCAGTTTCCTCCTCCAGGAAATGGTGACAGTAATTGTACTATCCTGTAAGGTTGTTGTGAAGATTGAGACATCACTTATTCACAGGCTTTAAGATGAGCAGCAAATGTTGGTTGGTATTGTTTATTTTTATTTTCATCATTATAATTCTGGTAATAAAACACATATATGCTGAGCTTGGGCATTTAAGTTTTCCCATCTGCCATTTCATTTGACCTCTACCAGATGTAATTCAGTTTTGTATTATTTTTATGATTCTATTTTAGAAATAAGGAAACTGAGATTCAAAAGGTCAAGAGTTTTTTTTTTGAGAGTCCAACCACTACTAAGTGTTAAAACTCACATCGAGCCCTGCTCACTCCAGTCTTCCCCAGTTATTTACTATGTCGCTGGACTTTTCCCTTAGTGTCACTGAAATTTAGCTAAATTTCCTCCAATTTAGCACTGGAGGAAATGCCAGCAAACATTTAATCTGACTCCTTAATTGTAGAGATGGGGAAAATGAGCCCCCCCCTCCCCCCCAAAAAGTGAAGATTTGCCCAAGGTCACATACTTTGTGGAGAAGACCCAGATTGCTTGATTATCATCTAAAAGCCTTTTGCCACAACCATTATCATGTACTAGAAAGTCCAGTAAAGCACTGAGGGTGGTGGTGGTAACATTCCCACAGGAAGAAGGTTTCCTTTCAGCAGTTTGAGAACTTGAATATCATTACTGTCCTGCAGGCCAACTGTTGTGGGATTGCCGTACAAGGCAAATAACATCCTTCCCATCAATGAGTTCTGGTCATACGCAGAGGATCCCTTTAACTTCTGCTTTGTAGCACTTTGGTTTTGTTTCCTAGTAATCGCTCCCTTTTCCCGGGGGAAACAAGGGTCCCGTGGTGGCCCCCCTGCCTCGCTGTGCTTATGCTCATGTTGAGCGCCCCCTCGGCCTATGAGGTGTGGTTACAACGCAATGCGGTCAGTCTTCACATGCAGCTTCTGGAAGCAGAGGAAGGAATACGGACGTATTGGAGCACATGTCATCTTGTGGGCTCGGTGGGACCAAGCGCATGCGGTTTAGTGGTAGCAGCTTGCTCATGCCTGTTACAACAAAGGAGAAAGATCATATTTTGTGTGAAGTCGGCGCTCAAAGCCTGGCCCTGCGTTATGGGAACTAGAGGGAGGAGGTAATTTCAAGATTGGAAATCTGTCTATCGTGATGGCTGAAGGGGTGGTAGAGTGGCTCATGGGAATAGAAACATTTCTAGAAAGGGCTTTCGCTCCCAGGTCCTTACCAGACCTGTCTGTCCTCTGATGCAGGGAACCTGCGGTATTCTGAAAGACTGCCCCTGCCTTTCACACATGACCGATCTTTCCCACCTGGGAGCCTTCACACGTGCTCTCTTTTCACCTGTCACCCTCCTTCCATGCCTCGTTGCTTCTCATGCTCATCAAAACTGTTCTTCCTTGACCACTGTATCTAAGATCGGTCACCCAGACCTGTCCTTCTTCATATCCTATTTGATTCTTTTACAGCGCTGGTCACAATTTTAAATTACTTATTTATTGTTGCAATAAATATCCTCTCCCTCCAGCTCGAGTTTAAGATCCACGAAGCTAGGTGACATTCAACTCGTGAATTCAGTGCCTAGAAGATGCTTAGTAAACATGTGCTGAATGAATGTGGTTGGTTTGGCCAATTAGATGGATAATCGAGGTCCTTTCTGAGGGTTAAACTGAAGTAGCACATTCAGGGAAAACAAATTTGAGATGATACCAGGGTGTGACCGCAAACTAGCAACTGATGGTTTCAAAACAGCAAATTTGTTAATGAACACCTAGGAGGTGCCATCCCAGTGTCAGAAGTAGCCTAACCTTTAAAATCAAAGTACAAGTGGCATAAAGCTACTCCACGTGCTGTGATTTCTCGGAGTCCCTCCAACTCTCTTGGGGTTTGGGCAGGGGACCCTGGTTCTTGGTCACCTCTGGATCACCTTCCGTTTTTGCGGAAGTTATCTCATAATAAAAACAAGCCACCCCGGTGCCCCAATTGGTTAAGCACCTGACTCTTGGTTTCAGCTCAGGTCATGATCTCACAGTCTGTGGGACTGAGCCCCGCAACAGGCTCTGGGCCTACTTCAGATTCTCTGTCTCCTTCTCTCTCTGCCCTTTCCCTGATTGATCTCTCTTTCTTTCTCAAAGTAAATAAACATTAAACATTAAAAAACAAACAAACAAGCAGTTTCGGAGGATCATAGATAATTCCCACAGAAAGAGAAATCTATGAGCTGACCAGACACTCCCAGAAATGTCTACGGTGTGCCCTGCTGAGTATATAAGGTCTCTGTCCATTCCAGGTGGGTCCCTGATAATAGCATACTTCATGGTATGCACACGACTTTTACATATAACCATTTTCAGATTTTTAAAAAACATAATCATTGTTTCCCTTGGGGGGAAAAATGAAAAAAAAAAAAAAGAACTCCTTTACCATTCAAGTGAGATGTGGATGGGGAAAAAAATAATAAATCACTTTTATTTTTTAGAGAGAGAGAGAGGTGCATGCACAAGTGGGGGAAGGGGGGAGAGAATCCTAAGAGGCTCCATGCTCAGCACAGAGCCTGATGCGGGGCTCAATCCCATGACCCTGGGATCCTGATCTGAGCTGAAATCAAGAGTTGGATGCCCAGCTGACTGAGCCACCCAGGCGCCCCAAAATAATTCATTTTCAAACAAATAGTACCAGAAATTATATTGACCTTTGAAGTGATCATCTTAAAAGCCTAATATTTATTCTGTGTTGCCATTCTTAGCATTTTTATGCGTGTGCCCCTGTGAGATATGTACTAAATATTTCACTCCTGCAAAATAAGAGATATATAGTGTAGATGTTCTGACAAGTATGACTCACTCCAGCTTTGACTCTCCATGGTGTTTGCCCCTCTGGCACACACATGGGACCACTCTGCTAGAGCCTCTAGAGCACAGGTGGCCTTTCTGTCTTTCTCTATTATTTTCTTAATAGGCTTTAATTCACTTACTTTTCTTGTATAAAGCTCTGCGGTGGTCGCAGCAGGAGGCTGGGTCCTCTGCACAGACCTCTGGTGTGGGTCTTTACAAGATGCTCAGTGAGTTCCTTATTAAGGGGAGACTTGCTGATCCCAGGAGTTAGATTGGGGGTGAGATAATAGTAGGTCTGGAAAATGGCATCAAACGTGACCTTGGGATAGTTGCCGGCAGCGACCACGCGCTGAAGGGTAGCAGTTATCGATGCCGGCCATCACCAGTAGCATCACGCACTCAGGACCTACAAGGTGTCAGTGCCTCTGGGTGCACACCAGCACAGAGCCACAGCAGCCTGTCCCCTGCACAGGGACGATGGAGGGCTTGTCCAGGGAAATGGCCCATGGTTGGCAGCGGCTACCTCCTCAGGGCACTTAACACCCAGACGCACGTGTCCAGTGTAATCTTCGACAGCAACAGATGCCTTGAACCTGGTCCGCAGCCCGGCCCGCGTCTGCTTTCACACAGGCATCATCTTCAAGACCTCGTCCTTGAGGGTTGTTCCCAGGAACACTAAATGAGTTCAGATTCCCTGATGGGCGGGGAGAAGAGACCGATCTCCTGCCGGGACCGATCATGTCCTGAACCGGGTAGCCCAGCTTGGTGAAGGGGTCCACTCCTCGTCCTCAGCCTTGACCCTGCGACCTCCGCGGCATCCCCCGCCTCCCCGGAAGCCAAATGGCCTCCCATTTCAATGTCATGCGCCACCTAGCGTTTACACAGAGAAGAAGCCAGGTGAGTCACATTACGTAACTCCCACGTGACCTCACCACCAAGCCCCTGGCTGCATAAAATCACTGGCCGGACCTGCGGAAGGGTAGTTGTGGGGTATGGCCGCCTTCTGTCTGCGTCTTCCGCCCTGGATCTCTCTGCCAGTAAGTTACCCTGAATAAGTATGTAGACGCTTCAGGGTGGATTGCTTGCTTTTTGGGTCTCAAAGTGCTTTCTCAGGCTGGAGGATATGTTGGTTGGCCTTCCTCCACCTTCTAACACTTGGCTTAGTCGGTGGGGTACTGGGGACGAAGCAAGCATTGGGAAGGGGGCCGGGCTGGGGGAGAGCCCGTGGTCCCCAAGGGGCCACGCCTGTTGTCCCTTACAGGGGAGAGACACTTGTCGAGGCCGGGGGAGCTCCTGTTGTCGGTGCAGCTGGTGGAGCTTCTGAGCTGCACAGGCGGAGAAGGGCTGGCAGCCTGGGTGTCCAAACTGTGGGAGCCTGGGGGAGACGTTGTTACGTTAAATGGGTTCGAGGTGTCAAAAATGGTCTCAGTCACTGTTCGCAAAAGAGTACATGTTTTCAAAAAAAGAGTACGTACTATAGGCACGGGTGAGCATCAGTAGGCGCTTAACTAATCTGATTGATTGGATAAATGCCAGCATTAAGATCACCTGGCCTAATGGAGGGAGATGTTCCCACCCCTCTGCTAGGTTAGACCTTTCTAGAAGAACTGCAAGAAATTATAGGTGGACTGGGAATGAAACATGATACCTCTGCCCGGTGTTTTAGAGGCCCGGACACAGAATTATTTTCCTCTGGTTTGAAAGGTCGTATCTTACAGTCAGCCCTGGGGACATGGGATGGGATTTGAGTATTTGTCTTTGCGCCTATGGTTAATTGGCCCATTGCTTACAGTACGGTGGCTGATGTAAGTAAGACCAAAGGGATTGTCATGGGGAGAGATGGGTTGAAAAACAAGGAAAATCCAAGAATCCTGCTGATGATGAACGGTTCACGGTTGTAAACAACTGTAGCAAGATCTAATCCCCAGGACTACCCAAGAGAAAATATAGACCAAAAAACAGTTTCAGTCTTGCTACGTCTGTGGAAAACATTGCCTAAGGGAGAGCAGTTTACTCCCTTGGAGGAAGGTTCAAAAAAGCCAGGCATGCCACCAAGTGCCCCTCCACTGAAGAATTTAGGGGCTGGATAATCCCTAATCCTGGAGACTAGGGTTTGGGCTGGTGTTGCCCTCTGGTGCCAGCAGTAGGGGGCGGCCAGAAGCTCCATGTGGAATTAACCATTTATTGGTCTCCCTAACAGCCCGCACTGCTCTGATAGACAATGATGCTGAATGGACACTCCTCATAATTCAGGGGAGAAATAAAAGCTGTTGATGGTTATGGGGGACAAATTATGAAGGTCAGACAAAGCAGTGTTTGCCTACCGATTGGTAGCCTTCTTCCCTGTTTTCTAGTGCAGATTTCCCTCCTTCCTGAGTATATATTGGGTGTAGATGTGCTACAGATCTGGGTCTAACAACAGGTGAACTCAAGTTGCATTACTTGTGAGGATATATCCACCCTGTCTTAAGCAGCCCGTAGTCATGAGGGTGGCAGATAAATACCTACAAGATCCAAGGGTTGGGTCAATCAGTAAAACTCCTGGGTGTCATCCTGGGAAAGAACAAAGTGATGGAATAGGTCACTGATAAAATGTAAGCCTTCCCCAATCCCTCCAATGGTAAAGGAATTAGAGGCTTTGTTGGTTTATTGGGTTACTGGAAACCTTTTATTCCCCATCTAGAACACATAGTAAGACCTTTTATATGTCCTGGTTAAGAGAAGCCAATGGTTGTGGGGCGTAACCAACAAGAAGCTTTCTTAAAGGCAAAAATGGTAGTAAAACCAGTATAGGCCCTGGGGGTATTAATGCCAGACGTGAGTTATGAATGTAAGCTCATATCCAGAGGGTTTAGCAAGGGCTTATGGCAATGACAAAATGGGAAATTAGTTATAATTATATGCATAAGTCCAGTAAGAATCTGTTCTCCTTTTTACATGACACCGTTGGAAACATTGGTTATATTACCAAGGCTTTAACTGGAATGTTATATTTGAGAGAGACATGCCTAGACTTGGGTATGAGCAGACACCTTTAAGGAACTAAGGTTGACTTTATGGAGCCTGAGAAGCCCCTTGGAAAAAATTGGCCTGGTGCCTTGCTTACAGGGTTCCCGGGAGCCTTACCAGGTGAGTATGGGAGGTACTTCCTGCAGGCTCTGGAACATCAGGAGATTTGGGGGACCGTGAAAAGAGCAGAAGCAATCCAAATCTATAGATCTTGCAGGCAAGTCTTATGGAGAGTATTTGTCTTGATGCTCAGCCTTGAAAGGCTGTTAAAGGCTCACTCTGAAATTCCTTATGGAAAGTTCTAGCAAAGCAGCTTTAAAAGAATCTAAATGGTCGGTCACTCTTCTTGCTGCCCCTATGTAAATAGGCCAAGTTTGTTAAAACTAAGTAGGACAAGCCCAGTCTTAATTTCACTACCTTTTCTAGAAATAGGGGTGACTTTAGAGAAGAAAAACAAAATTGTTTCAGTAAGTTACCTCTATGGGTATTCTGATGAATCAGATTCTAGTTCTGATGAATTGTCCTTGAATGTTTATGGTTATGGTTATGAATATGTCCTTGAATCCTGAATTCTGGTTTCCTTGTGTATCTGGCTAAATTTCTACCTGATCGCTTGCACACTGTAGGCCTCACTTTGAAAGGCTGTCTGCAGCACCACCTCCTGAAATGGGACCTCTGTTTAACTGAACTGACCTAATTTACGTGGTCCTGAAACGTGGAGCAGGTGCTAAGACTACCCATGAGCGTTCCAAAATAATGGCTCTGCGAAGGATGGGGCTCAGCTTAGTACTAGGGAATGTCTGCAGCTGGATGCAAGACTGTTCCATTGCTCAAATCCTGCTCTATCCTTTTCAGCAGGAAGTGGCTAGAGCAGTCATTGCTCCTATACCTCAAGATTGTGGATTGATGAAAAGCCAGGGTTGGTATTGGCTCCTGGGTATCAAACACCTACTGTGTTGTTAAAATAAGGTTTGTCATTTCTGTGGCCCGTGGGAGACCTTTGTCTTATGGCCTGTAGCCTCACGTTGCTCATGTTGCCTTCTGTTGCATCAGAAAATGCCTTCCTGTCATGGGACGGCCACTTACACTGAAGTTCACAATTGCTCCAACTGTTCAGTCTGAGGAAAGGACCATTTTACCAGGTCACGGGGGAATCGCCCGTTGATCTTTATATCGCTGCTGTGGGATAGGGATGTAAGTCCCCCCTCCCAATATCTGGCTCTAGGGTCCTCACAGAAGACACAGGGCCATGCAAAGATTATACGGATCATAAAGATGCTGGGGGTGGAGTGTAGGAGCGCTGACAACTGTGACTCCAGCTTTGGCTCTCCATCGTGTCCCCTCTGGCACATGCGTGGTGCCACTTTAGATAACTAGCAGAGAGCCTCTAGAGCACAGGTGGCACAACTTGAGATAACTGCCCTGTGATCCCAGCATCATGCCCCTCACTCCATAACCGCTGTGGGCTGGCGGGGGGGGGGGGGGGGGGGGGGGGGGGGGTTGTGGGGCGCTGGGGAGCCAGTGGGGAATGGCAGAGCAATGCTGGTCCCCACCCGTCAGTAAGTTACTGTGAATAACTCTGTAAACGGTATGGAGTGTCTTGCTTCATTTTTTTGGTATTAAAGTGCCTTTTTTTTTAATGTTTTTCTTTATTTCTGAGAGGGACAGACGGCATGAGTAGGGGACGGTCAGAGAGAGAGGGAGACACAGAATCTGAAGCAGGCTCCAGGCTCTGAGCTGGCTGTCAGCACAGAGCCTGACGTGGGGCTCGAACCCACGAACCATGAGATCATGACCTGAGCTGAAGTTGGGTGCTTAACCAACTGAGCCACCCACGTGCCCGTAAAATGCCTTCTTAGGATTGAGGATACACGTCTGACCCTCTTCCACCTTCTAAAATATAGTTCCTTTGCCATTTCATACTCAAGAGAACTGAGGCTTGGTCAAGTTAAAAACTCCACGAGTTTGCATCTAGCAAATAGTTAAAATATTCACTTAAATTTCAGTCTTCAAAGACTATGATTAAAAAGTGTTCTCCTTATAATGTGGAGGGTGTGTGTGTGTCTGTGTGTGTGTGTGTGTGTCTGTGTGTTTTTGAGGTGAAAGAGCACGAGTTGGGGAGTGGGGAGTGTGGAAGGAGGGAGTAGAGGGGGAGAGGGAGAGAATCTCAAGCAGGCTCCACACTCAGCCCCACAGCCTATTGGAGGGCTCCCTCCCACCACCCTAGAATTATGACCTGAACTGAAATCAAGAGTTGAATGTTCAACCGACTTAGCTACCCAGGTGCCCCTGAAAGATATTTTAAATAGAAGAGTTCTTTTATTAAACACACACACACACACACACACACACACACACACACACACACACACACACTGTGGCCCTATGTAAGAGCATATTTTTTGTTCCAAATGAGAGTATTTTTAAAGAACACGATCTCTCCAGTGGATCTCTCCAGTGCTTGGAAGCTGAGGCCCCGGGGGTTTCATCCTTAGATGTGGCAGCACCACCTAGTGGTAAGAAAAAGGCACAGACCTAGTGAGTTGCCGTACTTCATTGGACAACTACCCCCACTTTTAAGAGTGACCAAGATTAACATGGGGCTTCCAATTAAAAAGACCAAATATGTTTATCTCCTTTACTTGTGGAAAAATTCAAATGCTAAGTAGACAGAAAGAGTACAAAAGAAAGATACATAAAAATGAATTCAAAATGGATGAAAGACCTAAATGTGAGACAGGAAACCATCAAAATCCTGCAGGAAGAAACAAGCAGCATCTTTGACTTTGGCCGCAGCAACTTCTTACTTTATAGGTCTCCTGAGGCAAGGGAAATAGAAGCAAAAATGAACTATTGGGACCTCATCAAGATGAAAAGCTTCTTCATAGCAAAGGAAACAATCTACAAAACTAAAAGGTAAATGTTGAAATGGGAGAAGATCTTTGCAAATGACAATTGGATAAAAAGTTAGTAACTAAAATCTATAAAACCAATAACCAAAAAACAAATAATCCAGTGAAGAAATGGG